GATGTTATAGAAAGGTAGCAAATTCTTCTCAATTATTTTAAGACCCTGAGTGTTGGTCCGGCCGGGGCTCGAACCCTCGACCTCCCGCACAACAGTCCAGCGCTCTATCCATTGAGCTAACCGGGAGGCGGTTATGCATATATACATCGATGACATTTCCTACGTTCTTCAAGATTCAGCCATCTCAAGACTGTTAATGCATCAGTGGATGAGGAGTGAAGTGATCTATCTAATAACAACTTAGCTGCTTTGTTTTGCAGAATTTGCAATTCCTTCATTAGTGTGACATTGTCCTTGTCGGCCCCAGACTAAATCAGCATAATCGAAAACAAGTAGCACTAAGCAATTATAAAAAGCAACCGGGCATTATAAGGTAAATAATACTTAATTCTACGTAAAAGACCAAGGTTCTGCCTAATTACAAGCCTCGGTGTTTTTACAGTAAAAGAAGATGTTAAGTTCTTAGCTAAAATTTAATAAGCTCCCTCTCAGCTCTCGATGACCTGCCTTTATCACGGCAGAGGGATATAATTGTGCATATTGTTGCACTGAGATGTTTGAGGAAATAAATTGAAACTCACGGTCCTTCCGGGGGTCCTTTGGGACAACAGTCTCCTTAAGAAGCCTACGTCTACCCTATTACATTGTGCGTTTCCCGGATTGTTTTCCCTCCAGAAGACCATGCTGCGATGTTTCAATGTTCCTTGATCGTTATAAGCACAACAGGCAGAAGTCCACAAGTCTCTAGGCACATTGACCCGGTAATCGCCGATAGTGTCTTTGTAGTCTCTGAACCCCCTTTTGCCAAAATATCTCCATTTCGAGGATACACTTACTGTCGATGGGATATGATAATAATAATAATAAATATAATAATAATACTAATAATAATAATATTTAACGAGGGAGCCCAACTCGCCTTAGCGGTTTTTAGTGGGGCCCTCACAGTGGATAGCACCAATTAAGATAAATAACCGCACATCTGTTGATCCTTTCACCTGAGCACAGTTTTGATTGCCCCACGCGATGATTCGACTCTCCCAGACTCGCCAAGAATTCGAATTAAATGACTCAAACTGAGGCACAGCATTGGTGTAGGTAAAAAATGCTTTTTTCTTAGCTTGATTGTTGCGGCCATACTGTGAGGCAATCAAGTGTCCGAGGTGTACTGATGTTTTGACTACCAATCCTCCCGGACAGAGTTGAGTGCTGAAACCTTGTTTATGTCCACTTGCTCTTAACCAGTCGCTTTCAACGAGGTAATTACTCCCTAATCGTGTTGTATAGCAAAGTTCTCGCTTTTTAGCACGTACGTAATCTCTATTTTCTTGTTGAAATTGAGGATTGAGCAATCCGCTTCGTGAAAATTTAACGCGTGGCCGACCACCTAAGCTCTTTCTTGTTAACTGGGCCTCGTGGATTACGGTGGCCGCATAGAGAGGAGTTCGGTTATTGCAGTCATACAGAATTCCTACTGCACCTACTGACTCGTATTTTGTTAAATTCTCTAGAAAAAATAAAATGTATGCTTCTTTCTCTACAATTGGTTCCCAAATTTGGAACTCTATCCCCTATTAGATTAAACAACTTAAACGTTCGTCTTTTCGTAAAAAGATAAAGAAATTACTACTAAATTTTTTGCGGTCAGAAGATGATTATGTCGAAGTCTCCCGTCTTATTAAGTTATTTAAAACTATAGGTTAACCTCTTTTCGTAATCTTAATATACTTGCTCTGTTTTATGTTTATTCTATTTACTGCGTAATAGCGTTTTCATTGTTTATTTAGTTCATCTATAGATAAGTCCTGTACTGGTAAACTGTCCCTAGATCTTCCCGCCTCGATTAGTTTATATGAACCGAATTAAATGACCCCAACTGAAGCACAGCATTGGTGTAGGTGTAGGTAGCTATTTGGGAGGAGGAACCAATGTACTTACTTAGAATTGTAACTTAGAATGGTAACTGCACCCACACCTTCACACAAATACGCCAGGTTTCGCTGCCCTCCCTCGACAAGCCCGAACTGATCCACACCTTTCGGCAAGTACCCTGCTAAGTTGGGATTCTTCATTCCTTGTGCATCACAGGCCTCCATGAAGTTGCATTGGCAGGTAGCCATTCCGTTAGTACCAGTCGCACTACACTGGTTGCCCTTCACTTTATTCTGGAAACATCCCGTTAAGAAGAGGAGGAGTAACCTCGTGGTCGATATGTTCATAGCTTTGCTGACCACGTGAACTGTATTAGCACTTTACGACGGCATTTGCTTCCAAGCTAATAAAAATATTTCTATAGCAAGATCCTCGTTCGAGACCCCCAACAAACTCGTGCGATACACGTTCAAGCAAATCTAAATATGATCTGATTCTTCCGGTTGACTTGGAATTTGGATTGACTTCCCTTTGAGTCAGTTGGGCAAGGCAATAGTTACTTTCATATTTTTTATTACAAATCCATACCAGTCAAACTGGGAAGTCGATCTTTTTAGTGTAATCAAAATAACATGGTCCATGAATTTTCGCGGAAGTAATGAACCTCCGAAGCATCGCCCCTGGGAAAACAGAACATTAACTCTTACTTGAAAGAATAATAAATAGGGTCAACAAAGAGTACTCATCACTGAGGTGCTGATTTAACATCTGACATGTATGTCCGACAACTTAATCTTAGCGGGTAAAAACCGGCAATTTAGCTCTATTCCTGCTACTCACTATAATTGTGCATGGAATATTCAGGACATTAGAAGTTGATTTTTATGTTTTAGTTCCATCGAGTACAAAGGATGAAAAATTTACCGTAGACCTCAAAACGACAGGTGAAACACCCTATAATGTTATCTTAGTGTATTCAAAGGGATTGAATTGAATGAATCAGCAACAAATGAATAACGCTCGTGCCAGCTTTAGATTAAAGGAGAAATTCACGTACTGCGCGAGGTGCTCGGGGGGAAGAGCTTAAAAAGTTAAACTTTTGAAACGTTCTTTGATGTTTCTGTTACCTATCTAAAAAACCATAAAACCATCCAGGGTGTAAAGATGTCTGAAACTCCCCATATTGGCTGTTGTATTGTAACGCCGAACAGGTGGTGCTTGAAATGTCGATTGAAGACACAGTTTCGCATGCGCAGGGGGCTCGGACAGCGTCTGTATTTTTGCAACAGCCTGCGACTCTAATGAAATCGTCTGCTGATTTCTGAAATATTCAATTTCCTAGTTGTCAAAACTATCAGCACCAGATGATAATTCTAAAATTAAAGATGAAACCAGAGGAATTTAGTACATGCACAATCTGGCCAACGGTTTCTTAACCCCTTAAACCTCTTTTCGGAAAAAAGAAACTTTTGTGATTGCAGATAAATTCTTAGAAAGAGAGGAAATTGACGAAGTGGTTACTCATAAACATGATAGAGCACTATCCATGACCTCATCGGAAGGGTTCGGGAAAAACGTGTATTTTTCCTGTTTACATGATAAAGACGGGCCGCTGATGTCCGAGTTTATTTGCATCTAACACATAACATTGACTCGTATGATTTTAGCTTGAGCTGTCGTTCATTTCCTCTGAACAAATATTAATGAAAATTTTCAAACTGTGCATAAACAAGTCACCATTACAAGCATACTTATAAAACTTCTCGACAGCTATTACCCCTACCCAGCTTCAATACTATACCAAGCGAACAGCTCCTGTGCATTGAATGATACACGTCTCTCTTAACCTTGATGAGCAACTGGGCTCAAAAAATGGGGTCAAGGTAATGTAGCTCGTAACATATGTACGCGTTAAGTGTTTAATGTACGATTTTTCTTTTAGAAATAGCAATAACAAAACGGTTTTGAGACTCCCCGTTAGCATTCGATCACACACGATAATCATGGTCAGGAGCGTAGCCAGCCTATAGACTCTTACGCTCAGGGCCGGGTTGTTCAAAACGCGGTTAACCTTCCCCGGGATTAGTGTAAAATTTAAAATTCAGTTCTATAGCCCTGCAAAAGGATTTTTCTTTTGTATTTTTGGTCAGTTTAATGTCATATTGAGAGAAGGCCCAACAACTTCCTTTGCCCTTAAACGCGCTTTTCTACGGGAGAAATTCAAGCCAAGGTTAACTTCTAAACCTAGATTAACGTTAACCCCCTTTCGAACAACCCGGCCCAAAAGCCTACAATTTTGTTCCCGCCCGGTTTATTTGAAAGATGATGACTCTTGCAAACATTGAAACAAAAATTGAACTTTCCCAGCGAACAGGCCTACAACAATACTTGCGAAGTACACAGACTCTAAACGAAGGGTCGAGATAAACGTAGAGGGAACGCAATAAAACCAAAACCGAATGTCCTTGTGAGTGTATAATAATGCTAGCCTAAAGCAACCCTTGATCACTGCAGTTCGCGTTGCTTCAGTGTGCTGATAAACGGACATGTAACGTATGAGAATATATGATTAAATGGATGTACCAAGAGTTCAAACAATCTGCAAAACTCGGCATTGTTGTCCACGCCTCTGTATCTGTTAGACAGTCTGACCTGTGTCAATACAGCAGTATTTCAATAGGAAAGAAGTTGATCGCAGTAACATCAAATTATGTCGATGAACTTTATTTATTGTGTCACATATTCCTTTCCTGCATGGAATTTAAATTAGGATCAGAGATACACGTTGCTAAATGCAATATAGCAAATCCAGATGTAAAAGTTAAACATTGAACTGCCCAAAAATGTATTTTTTAACTCACTATCGAGTTTATAAAGCATATTTGTTAAGGATTGCTCTCTTGTAAACGTGAGCACGTGCTTAATCACAAGCCTCGGCGTTTTTACATTCTCAATGAACTTGACCCCAGTCACTGAAAAATAAGATGTTTAGCTCTCGGCTGAAATTCGATAAGCTCCCTCTAAGCTCTCTGATGATCTTTCTTAGTCTATGTTCGCTGTGACAACTGCCTTTGTCACGGCAGCTGGATATGATTTTTCTTATTGTTGCACTGAGATGTTTGCGGAAATAAATTGAAACTCACGGTCCCACCGCGAATTCTTCTGGACAACAGACTCGTTAAGGAGCCTACGTCTGTCTTTTCACATTCTGCATTTCCCGGATTGTTTTCCCTCCAAAAGGCCGTGCTGCGATATTTCAATGTTCCTTTAACGCTGTAAGTACAGCAGGCAGCAGTCCACATGTCACTAGGCACGTTGACCCGGTAATCGCCGATAGTGTCTTTGTAGTCGCTGAACCCCTTTTTGCCAAAATATCTCCATTTCGAGGATACACTTACTGTCGATGGGATGGCACCAACTACGATAAATAACCGAACATTCGTTGCTCCTTTCACCTGAGCACAGTTCTGATTTCCCCATGTAATGAGTCGGCTCTCGCAGGTTTTCCAAGGCTGCGAATTAAACACTCCAAACTGAGGCACAGCATTGGTGTAGGTAAAAGTTGCTTTTTTCTTAGCTTGATTGTTGCGACCGTATTGTGAGGCAATCAAGTGTCCGCGGTGTACTGATGTTTTGACTACCGATCCTCCTGGACAGACTCTGGTCCTGAAACGTTTTCTGCGTCCACTTGCTTTTAACCAGTTCACGTCAACGAGGTACTTGCTCCCTTTTTTCGTTGTATAGCAAAGTTCTCGCTTTAAAGCACGTACATAATCTCCATCTTGTTGTTGAAAAGGCGGATTGAGCAACCTGCTTTGTAAAAATTTAACGCCTGGCCGACCACCTAAGCTTGTTCCTGTTAACTGGGCCCCATGGATCACGGTGGCCGCATAGAGAGGAATTCGGTTATTGCAGTCATACAGAATTCCTACTGCATCCACACCTTCACACAAATATGCCAGGTTTCGCCGCCTTCTCTCGATAAGCCCAAAGTTATCCATACCTTTCGGCAAGTACCGTGCCAAGTTGGGATTCTTTCTTCCTTTTGCATCACATGCCCCCATGAAGTTGCATTGGCAGGCAGCCATTCCGTTAGTACCACTCGTACTACACTGGATGCCCTTCACTCCATTCAAGAAACATCCAGTCATTAAGAAGAAGAGTAACCTCGTGGTCGATTTTTTCATGGCTTTGCTGGCTACAAGAACTGTTTTAGCACTTTACGACGGTATTTGCTTCCAAGCTGAGAAAGATATTTCAATAGGAGGATCCTCGATCGAGACCCCAGCGAACAGCTAATTGATTTCTGGGAATTAAATTTCAAGGTCTACAGGTCAGTATAATGAAATCTCCTAACATTCATGCCAAAACAAGCAAGAGGAATCTTTGGTATTCAGCGCTATATATGTCAATCGTGAAGATCGACGTCGGCCAAAATGAGCTAAACTAACACAAAGCGAACGTCTCCGTGAAAACAATTCAACGCTAATGCTGAAAGCATGAAATATTAGCGGTGTTTTACTTTCCAGGACCCAAATGGCAAACTAATGCAATTAGTAGGAATTCATATCTCATTCATAATTATGGTATCAAGCTAAATTTATGATTTGTATTAAAAGCCAGCCAGTGCCAGTAGAAATCAGGTTAACTCGATAGAGTGTCGACCATAATAGTTAGAAAAAAATGAAAATCTACACAACCAGCTTTGAAAGCCATCGAATCTTAGTGGTTGACTGTGAATCCTCAGTATTGCAGTACGCATCCTGTACTACGCATAACACTGCCCATAACTCCTTGCGAAAGGTACGCGCGCATTCAGATAACGTGAACGATATCTTTTCTCTCAATCAATGGAAGGGCTAAACAGGAGAGGAGGACTTTTCCTCTTCAAAGCACGGTAACCTATCTTTTTCAGTTTCATGTGCTAATTATCCTCTTTAGGGCACAAAATTTGGAAACATAAGGCATTACTCGAAGATAGAGATTGTGACCATGAAAACAAAGATTTGAGGAACGCTTTTAGTCGATGTTGTTTAAAAATCATCTTTTTCAAATGTTATATAGTACATTCTTACATTTGCTCGAGATTTCTTAAATCCTACAATAGAAACCCTTGCTTCCAGCTACTCCAAGTACCGGACCTTTTTTATCGTATAAATATAAGCAGTGTTTGGTGGGGAACAGTCAAAGTTTCGTTCTTCAACTCTTAAAGAATCATCATCACTGACTGGTCACCCCTTGCAAGTGCTAGATGGGTTCTTACAATTAGTGACATCACAACATAACACAGCAATTAATTACGTACACCAAACAGGCTTGTAGTTTTGGCTTTAAGCAGCTATTCATTGTCACCGACAGCATTTGTTTTCATGACTGACTTGACGACCGATTGCAACTGATGATCAATTGTAACTTGTTACTGATCACTCTAATCTTAGAGAGCAGGTTGTTTGTTTGAAGCGTAATGATCGGTCGACCCCTGGAGCTCTTCAATGATAATTGGGCTCCATTTATAGAGGTGGCCTCCTAAAGTGGAATTTGGTAATTACAGTCATTAAGAGTGCCCAGTGCGCTGCCTTACTTAAAATGCTTGAGGTGTCGTCCTCGGCTCTCGAACAGTTCCAACTGATCCAAAACTTTAAGCAAGTATTGAGCCTTCTTATGTTAAACCTTGGATTTCCTCGTGCGTCACCAGCGTGTATCACGTTGCACAATAACCTCGTTAGCGTTGTCTTTTTCAAAGATAATTCGTTTGAAACATGTTTGCAGACTAGAAATCTAGGGTTGAATTCCTTGCTCTACAACCCCACTTGTTATTCTTTAAATCAGCCGGAATGGTGAAAAAAGCGATGTTTCAGGGCATTACGGAAAAGGGACACTGTGGAGTGTTGGGTAATCGATACCATGTTGAGGTGCGGTCAAAGGAGAACAATGCGAACATTCCCATCAACACACTGTTGTAAATCATGCTAAAAGCATGGCTCGAATTACAATAACGTTGCAAGGAAATGATGCACATGGTTTATCCAAGAGTTCACCATAGTGTCACTGATTAAGTTTACTCGTGACATGCTTTCTGACAATAGTTAATTCTAAAACCCACTCGAAACTCAGAAGGAATAGAGAAAGTGCGTAAAGCGAAACGGCGCGCGGTTCAAGCATGAGAAATGTCACAGAAGACCTGAAACTAGCTTCCTGATTGAGGTTCGTTCTTATTTTGTTTTTTATACGATTTAATTTTTATTTCATCTGTTTGTGCAGTAAGACCTTAAAAATATCTTTAGGGGAAAAGAGTGAAGCAATAGTAATTCCGATAAAAAACTGTCAAATTCTTGTGAAAAAATTTTCTGGTTGTTATGATGCGGTGTTTCGTCTCGACCAAGAGACTCGTCTTATAGTTTTCGTAAATTTCAAACGAACCCGTCGAGCATCGCGTTCAAAGTCCCGTTCGTGAAGTCAAGATGTTAGCAATCTAGCTAGCCCTCTATTTCAGAACGATTCCCAGCCATACGTTCACGAGTTACAATATATACAATGAAAGATTGTAAGTGTGAAAAAATTCCGTGGCGATATGACACTGCATTTCGTCTCGGCCAAGAGACTCATCAGATAATTTTCGTAACTTTCAAAAAAGAAACAACAACTTTGAGTTTAAATTTACAAGACATGTTTCGACATTCTCATGTCATCTTCAGTTGCAAATGAGCATTTAACTGTTGTACATTTGAATTTATATTAAGGTACGTTACAAACTACGTGTCAGGGCTTACGTTACATTTGAATGTTAAAAACGCGAAAAATGTAAATAGCGCGCGCTTGACTAGATCAAAAAA